AGTCGTACACCCTGTGGGCCCCGTCGGCGCTGTAGGGCCCGTTGTGCCAGTAGGACGAGTCACAGACCGTCTGCAAAGAGTTGATTTCGGATGCAGAGGAGTTGGCGTCCCTCCTCTTGGACCGCTTTCTGTTCCTCAGGATGAACACCAGCATGCCAACCACCGTGAAGGCAGAGGTCACAAAAACCAGCAGGAGTCCTGGCACTAGCACCGAAATAGAGACCCGACTGGTCTCCAAGTAGGAGTTGGAGTGAGTACCTGTCTCTGTCAACCCGGTGCTGTTTTTGTTAGAAGTTAATGTGGGCGAGATTTTTAACTGAGGGCAAATCACATCGTTGGAGAGAGACTCAAAATCCTCCTTGAAGAAATCTTCAGGGGATTCGCACCTTAGGTCGCTCATAATCACCTTGGGGCGCAGCATCTCCGCCCACTGTTTGAAAGGCACGATAGGGCAAGTACAGTCCCATGGGTTGCCGTGCAGGTCGATCTGGGTGATGGAGGTGAGCTGGTCCAGCACCCCTGCCACCGGGAGGTACATGAAATAATTGTTGTGTATGCTCAGCTTGGAGAGCGAGACCCCAGCGAACACATCTACTGGGAGAGACCTCAGCAGGTTGTTGTTGAGGATGAGGACTCTCAGTTTGGGCATCGCATTGAAGGTGCCAGGCATGATCATCTGGATCCCATTAAACTCCACGTTCAGATACTCCAGGTTTTGCAGCCCAGCGAATTTCTCCCGGGACAGGGTGTCTAAGTAGTTGCTATCCATGTAGAGCCATCGGAGATCAAAGAGGTTCTTGAAGGTGTTGTTCTCGACGGTGGCAATGTTGTTGTTGCCCAGATCAAGTAAATTAAGTTTTCGGTAATCCAGAAAGTGGGATTTCCTGATAGTATGTATTTTGTTGTCTCTCAGAAACAGCTCCTGCACGTTGGATGGCTTGGGCTTCAAATCCACCAAGCTGCTCACGTTTCTGTCATTGCAATTAACCTTTAAACCCGAGCCAGGGATCTGATCGCAGCTGCAGATGTGTGGGCAGGACAAGGTAGCTGGTAGCTTGCTCTTTGCACTCACTGTCGACACGGCAGCAGTGGGTCTGGTCTTAATTTGCCAGTTGACAGGAATCTTTGTACCTCCGTTTGGAGCAGATCCTGGTGTGGCAGGGTCTTCTTTGCCATGTATTTTAAAGGGGGTTGGAATTGGACCAGGATCGCAGGTTTCTTCTTCAGCAGGGGGAGCAGCTAGGCTAGAATCTACTCTGTTCTTTTTGCACAGCTCTTGCTCTGTGGTCTCATTTAAATCTTTGCCCTGCAACCTAGTGGGAGCCTCACAAATCACTCTGCCGATCAAAGCGTTTTTAGGTATGTTTTCCAGCCATTCTTTCAACGACAGCAGATCGCAAGTGCAGTCCCAGGGGTTATCCTCTAGCAGGATTTCAGCAATGCCTGGGATCTGCTCCAGGACCTCCTCGTAAGGCAAGGTTTTAAGACGGTTTCCCCGGAGGTCGAGGTGGGTGATCGGCACGTACTGAAACACGTTGGGGGGTAAGGTGCTGATGAGATTGTCATTTAAAATCAGCACCTCCAGCTTGTTTAAGTCCCTAAATGCTCCCGGGTCAATATCCCGCAATAGATTAAAATCTGCCTGGAGGTATTCCAGATCGTCCAGCCCCAGGAAAGTCTGCTTCCTGAACGATTTGATCTTGTTGTTGTTTATGTGCAAGCGTTTCACCAGCTGCAGCCCAAGGAAAGCCCCAGGAACAATCTCATGCAAACCGTTGTTTTCCATGTGCAAACTGACCGCATTGTAAAAGTTAGCAAACTCATTAGGGAAAAGTCGAGTCAGGGAGTTGCCATGCAGGAATAAATGGTAAAACTGGGAAGTTGGGGCGGTGAAATGTTGCAGGCTGGTAAATCCCTTTTTCTCACAGTCTACGTGCAAATCCCCTTCTATCTCGTTGCAAGCACAGATCTTCTCTTTGCAAACGTCCCCTGTAACGTTTCCAGCAGCAAAACAAAGAGACGTCTCCAGCAACAGAATCCAAAGCAGCATTTTTAAACCGAGCAATTCATTCCCGATCTCATCACAAAGTATCAGCAACCATCCTCCTCACACGGAAAGCAATTCCAGTTCATTCAATACATTAAATGTCCGAACCACCACCAAACGGGGAGAAAAAAAAATGTGGGGAGAGGGAGCAGGGAGAGTCGGCGGAGGGGGGGGGGATGCTTTCTTTTCTCCTCTCTCCCCCCCCACGTACAACCGCAACAGCCCAGATTCCAGTCAGTAATTATATCCACAAACTATCCAGGCACGTAC